CGACGGACACGTGAAAAAAAATAAAAAATAAAAAATAAAAAATAAAAAATAAAAAATAAAAAATAAAAAATAAAAAATAATAAATAAATAAATAAATAAATAAAAATGGGAAAACAATGCCTGGGAGGAACAAGGGTGTTTGAATCTGGCTGAGGCACATTGAGACCCGAACCCGCTCTGTTGATAAGATATCCACATGTAAAACATAGACAAGGCTTTCTCAAATGTCCTTTCTTGGGAGCTTTCACCTTTTTCATCGATTTTGTGTTTTGAAGNAGCGGTATTCCTTCTCAAGTTAATTTTGAGATCACTCGCAGCTTTAGAAATGTCAGGAGGATCTAGAAATACAATCTCGTTCGAAGGGCATTTTCCCTCTCAAAGGGAAAAGTCCTAGAACAAGGTTGCTAAAGCCAATCGAGAAGTTCACCATATCTAAAATTAATTTGACAAGGATCACCTTGAGGATTATCTTGTTGCACAATTAATTTTTTTCCGTTGAACCAATCACAGTTCTCGTAAACGCAGAACTTCAAAAGAAACACGATTAATCTCGACGGACGGCTTATCCGTAGTAGAACACAATATTTATTATTTTTTCTTTTATCTTAAAAGCCTACAGATTTAATCGCTATACCGTGGATAAATAAAGCTTATTGTATTGTATTGTATCCAAATATGCTTAAAAACTCATAATTTAGAATTAGTAGTTTTTTTTTGTCTTGATTCCTCGCCAGTCCTTTAGCATGCAGCTGCAGCAAAACGGGCTCTCTCAGGCTAGAGATAAGCCTTGTAGCAAACTACAGTGTCAGCAGAGCCTCATTCGGAAGGCTTTGTTCAAACTGTAAAGAATCGACTCCATTTAAAGGTCGTGAAAAATTCGACAATACATTTATTTCAAAATTCTTAGTATAGTGAGATAGCCAGCTCTTTAAGCTTTAATTTGATATAGGGGTTCGGGTATAGATCTACAGGTTAAACCGGACGCGCTACATCGTTTGGACGCGAGACCCCATTGAAGGTGCTCTGAAGGTATACGATAACCTTAAGCAAAGTCGAATTCAGTATTTTAGGCGTCTTAATAACTCTGAGTGGCTTTAAATGAAAGGGATATTCATTTCACGATTTGTTTGTTTCTTGTGGTCATTTGACCGTGCCTGAAAGTTATAAACATTTGTAATATTTCAGTACTCATATAATAAAAAAAACCCACTTACATGGTTGATTGGCTTGCACGATTTTTATTTGCTTGTTGTGAAGAATCGCAGACTCACTCGTTCGCTGCACTCGCACTCGTTCGTTTACCGATTCTTCACAGCTCGTGAATAAAATTCGTACGCACTCGTCAGCTGTGAAGTAATCTTTGTTTACCAACCTTGCCTAAAAACAGCAAAACGTCAACTAAACGTCAAAAGAACTTTTTCTCAGATGAAAGTGAAAGGGATCGGCGTAGAGCTTTTCAAGCGTCCTTGTCAAGAAACTATTACATTAAGTTTTGAATATTAAACGACAATTTTAAATTGGGAACAGGAAACTAGCACGATTTGTTTTGGGTTTTCTCCCTGCGCTAATTCGCGTTTTTCGTTGCAAGAATTTTTAACCAATCAAAGGACTCACAACTAACGCAGAACCAGAACAACGTGTGATCGATTGTCCTCGACGGACTGCTAATCCAGATGTGTCATAAACTGCATAAAGTCATAATTTATAATTGGTAGCCGTGTGAAAAATGTATAAAACTGCCATATGCTGGTAGGTTTTGTATTTTATTTTTTTCAGCGGCAACTGGTCCTGCAAAAAAATGCACAGCAAACACTGAACTACAGACCAGCCAGGAAACTATATCAGCGTGTACGTGGCAACGTCCATAATAGCAGATGCATAAAACAGCTGCGGCTGCGTTTACTTCATTATCTAATAAATAAGAAATTATGGCAAATAGCATTAACATTCGGATTACAATATCGGTAACAGTCACTTAAAGTAAACTACTATGGACTAGTCTGCCGTAGGGAAAAGGTAGAATTTTACCCTTTCCATTGAAAATCAATGGGTTTTTTTTAACCATAGCAAAAAATCTGAATAACTACTTGCTGAGATGCCCAAAGTTTGGCTGCTTACTAAACAATTACCGAAATATTAACTCACAACTACCTGAAGAAAAATTTCGAACGTTCTACCGCTTATTATTATAATACAACACTTTGGAACACTCTGGAATTTCAGATCAGCGAGTCTACATCAGTTTAAACGCCAGCTGAAGTGCCACAGCAACAACAATGATCATGCCCAGGGGTATGTTCATGGAGCCTTTGCCACAGTCAGCAGGAGTAGCCATGGTGCTAGAGATCCCAATTTGAGGGGTACTGGATACTACAGTCGCGTTGGTCCCAGTTTGGTTACTAGGCAAACCAGAGGCGTTGATTGACAGCGCAATCGATGGCATTGGGCGAGTCATGACGGGCATGGAGGGAGCTGGAGGACGTGGTGGGAGGTCATCGGTGTTACACATGTCGGTTGTGCAACACCTTGAAGTACAGTTGACCATTGTATGCCCTTGGCTAGTGAAAGTTGTGTTCTTTAAATTGCAAACATACTTGGGATCGGGCTGGTTGCAAACAAAGTCAAGGCCGCATTGCTTATTCAGATACAGGATTTCCTCGCCACTGCTTTTCCTGACGAACAGTTTCATGTTGAAGCACTGATTCCAGCCAGTCGTGCATGTCACGGACTCGAGGTTTGTCAGACAATCGTTAAACGAACTGTCTGGTGGACACTTGTGACAGGAAAGAGCTTGAACTGAAAACAAACCAATTGTTGCTTTGTCAATCATCGTTCGTGTTCTATCAGCTACATTTGCGGGCAAAAACGCCATATTTTTGATTAGGGCTTAGGCCTTTGCTTAGCTTATGGCAAACGTATATTATTAGCTATTTTGGTTAGAGCAGGGGTGAAATGATGACTTTTTGCCCGCGTAGGCAGCAAGTTATATTAATTTTATTGATGTAAAATTACGAAATCGTGGATAAAATGTTGCCTTTAGTTTATATTCTTATTGATTGCCAATTGATAAGATATTCAACATCGAGAAGAAAATATAATCGATTTGCTCGTTGCTGGACCATACAATGACGCGACCGTGGAAAATTTGTTTGCGTGCCGATTGTCCACAGTTGCATGATTAAATTTCAACTTGCTTCGATCTATATTTAACCATGCAACATGGGTCCCCACACCAAATGCACTGTCACCGACTGCCGCAAGTAAAGCTAGCAGAAAAATATATCCCACGCGAGGACTAGTTTTTGCAGGTGAGCAAAACAACAGCACGATCTCCCTGCACGGTGATCTACGTAAAAAGAAAAGGGGCAAAAAAGTGTTACATGCATGCTTACCCGTATACCCGGTCAGGAAAATTGTGAAGGTAAAAGGCAATATCTTCATAATGTATATCTCTTTTCAGGCACGTCAAAATAAAAAAAACACAAGGTAACTTAACGTCACCGAAAGGTTCTTTTTCTCGGGCGAAAGTGAAAGAGATTCACTACGGTGTGTTAAGCCCCCTTGTCAATGTAGCTGTTACATTTCATTCCCTTTTGGAGAATTTCTCATTGGTCAAAAATCGCTCTTTTTGCAAAAACATAATGCAGCATTCAATACAGCGGGAAGCTGAACAATTAACAAGAAGGCACACAGAGGTAATGAAACAAACTGCAACACATGTAAAAATTGTCTCCAGGGCCGATTTGATGAAAAACTTCAATTAGGTTGTCCTGAATACTTGATCCAAAAATAGTTCTAGCCAATTTTTAACCAATTTAAACAACAAGAAAAACAAGATGACACAAAAGCAGTCTGACAGGTGCGTAGGGTCTTTTCATTCAAGTCTCGATCATGTATGGGATTTCAATATGAACTCGCACGGGAAGTGAAAGTGATTTTCCAGTCAGTATTGTTTGTTTTTCTCGATGTGGGAGCCCAAGTTTTAATACTCAAGCTGACATCAAGTTGGATGGAGATTTATTTTTATGTATGTTCTTTACTGCTTAACACTATATAGGACCTTATTGGACATCATTTCATCAGGTTTTGGATGACCGTCAGAAATGATCGTGCAAGTTTCCTCATGGCTTTCGGATGATTAAGCCGAAATCCGATAGGAAATCGAGCAATTTCAGTTTTATGGAACAAAAACCTTGTACCAGAATAACTGTCCTTTTTGCATTTTCTAAATACTAAAGATATAAACAATTGCCTGAAGTAACACCAAAAACAATTACCCATGGGAACCTTAGAAAATGAGTTTCAAAGTTCATAGAAATTGTGCAAATCACAGGCAAAATTTCATTTCATTTCAACCGAGTACTTTCAAGTGCTTTATTTGAACTTCAATTATAAACAGTCGCACAGAAGTTTGCAATACAATGTAAATAATCTTGATACAAAGTTTTTGTTCACTTATTACTCGAACTTGTAGTGGATTCCCTCTTAATACCGAAGTAACTTCGGTGTTAATCATCCGACAGCCATGGGCGAAGTATACGATCGCACCTCCAATTACGCAAAACCTGAAACAAACTGCTGGAGAAAGGATTCTTTTCCATTGCAAGCCCAAAAAACTATAAATATCTTTTAAGTCATGTCCCCTGGTAGGGTCTGATAGCACTGCTGTACTTTGAAGCAGTTAAGCCAATCGAATTAGTCATTGTAGGGATTTCTGTCGTGCTGTCTTTGCTTGATAACTGAATGTGTTCTACAATCATAGATTATTTAAATATAAATATAACTCGCGTGTGGTAGTTTCAGCCCGTCGAGTGGAGAGAGAAAAGACCACCATCTAGCCCTGCCATCCGTCCTCATGGCTGCGCGACAATTAAATTACCAAGCGACGTCAAGTTCCCAGTTATGTATTAACTTTATTTGCGACGTAGAAAATTACTTTGAATCGACGGACACGTGAAAAAAAATAAAAAATAAAAAATAAAAAATAAAAAATAAAAAATAAAAAATAAAAAATAAAAAATAATAAATAAATAAATAAATAAATAAATAAAAATGGGAAAACAATGCCTGGGAGGAACAAGGGTGTTTGAATCTGGCTGAGGCACATTGAGACCCGAACCCGCTCTGTTGATAAGATATCCACATGTAAAACATAGACAAGGCTTTCTCAAATGTCCTTTCTTGGGAGCTTTCACCTTTTTCATCGATTTTGTGTTTTGAAGCGGACTGACTGGATCGTTGAAACGGGGACTCAGTTTCAGCATTCTCTCAGTAGCATGCGAACGTAAAAGTGCGTCGATTCAAGGTCGTCATTTAACCATTAACAACAGTAACACTCCAGTGACGGTTGCCACGGTATAGAACTGAAATGTCTCGAAAGATGCGCTACAATAATTGCATCAATTTTACTTAACAAAGACGAAACAAAACTGTGAGTGAAAACTGGTTATAAGACTAGTTGTGCAGTAGTGGACTAGTAGTATGAAGCTGGTACTCTAATACGGTAACTCGCCTCCCAGCGCGATTTCACCGCTTTTTCATTAGTCCGATAAGTTCCCATCCCTTCGTGCATAATAATTTATATGTGGAAAAAATTGAAACATTATCGATAATAATAACGGAAAATTGGGTATCGAAAACCCCTCCATGTACTATTGAATTGTGAAACGGTTCAGGTTATAGCTGACGAATTTGATTTGGTGTTGTAGTTAAGTTTAGCCTTTTTTACAGTTTCAAAGCCTTTTTTAGGTATTTAAGAATTATGCGGGGCTGTTAGCTAATTTTAACGTTGTCGTCAATTTGAAATGAATTCATTATCACTACGGCCTCAAATTTGAAAAACATTTGGTCTAGATCTGTTCATTTTACACTCTGAGTACCAACACTGAGACAAGAAGAACTTTAAGCAAAAGAGACTGTTCGCATTTCCCGGTACTTCGAGCACGATTAGCTATAATCTCCAATTGGTTAAAGGTTGGAAAACTGGCTGCCATAAAAGCATTACAAAGATCTTCTTTACAGCATTTAACATTACAATTTCCTACATCAGCTCCCAGGCTCATCGCCAGCTCCCGCAGCATGGTACACCTGTTGTCGATTTCACGGCAGTCACGGCTCTCTGTTGCGCAATCTTTCCATTCTGCAATTTTAAGAACTTCCCTTGTATTCACCTCTAACACCTGTGCTTGCAATGTAAAACAAGAATCAGATTCATCGTTTGTAGAGCAGTTTTTCTCTAGTGGGTGACTTACATGATTCGGCTTTGAAACGAACTCTGGTTCCAATTTGAAGCACTTTTTTGGAGACTTACGTGAAATTGCAGTTGGGAGAATTTTGCGAGTGCTTGATTTCCGTAGATTAGGAGTTGGTACGGGATGATTGCAATAATTAGAAGAACAACACTGTGGGCGGCAGTTAGGCTCGACTAGCAGACCTGGCTTCTCCTTCCACAAGTGAAGTTTTATATCATTGCACGGCTGTGAGGAATGACATTCCTTTTTAGATGCGCACTGTCTGAAAATGAAAACGACTGGTTAGTTGCTGGAAAAAGGTGCTTTGTGTTGGAAGGGCCATGGTGCTCGATTTTATTTTTAGTACCGCCCTAAAACCTCCGTAATGAGGAAAAATATACAAACAAACAGATCATCGATTTCATTCATTTACTGAACGGTTGCTACACTAGACTGCGAGCTATCTCTATTTTGCTCGAAAATCCGTGTGGGGAGAACACAAAACAGGTGCGCGTGCGAGCGTGACTGCGAAAGTGACATGCGAGCTGCCGCGAGTAGCGCGGGAGTCTGAAGAAGAGCGATACGTCTTCTCCCTATTTTCCCTAGTCTTCTGACGCCCGCGCTAGTTGCGGCTCGCGGCTTTTCGCATGCCATGCTCGAACGGTCAAACTGCTCACTTGTGTTGCGTTCTTCTTTGCGTTCTTCCCAACGAATTTTCGAGCAAAACAGAGACTGCTCGCAGTCCATTGTTATACAAGGACGTCGTCGAAGAAAAAAAATCTTTAATTGATCGCGCGTGCCATACTATAAGGCGGGGCAGAAATACGTTATTTGTCTCGGATACCAACGAAAAGCCTTATTTCAGTCTTTGACTAAAACTCATTTGAGAATGGAGATGACATCCACGCACTTTCTTCAAAAGTCAGTCACCAACAACAGTTCTTTCAAAGAACTACCCTCGCCCAGACGATCACACTACTACGAACTAATGATACTCCTGGGATCAAAGCATTACTATTAAACTTAGTTTTATTGTAACTGAGTCTTTGAACTGGAAGTCTAGTCGAAATCAGAGAAGAGTGAGGACGAAAAAATGGCCTAGGAACATAATTAAGTAAAGCTAGCGGACAGTGAATGACTTGGTTTTTTTTCCCCAGGTAAATGGTGTCGATCTATATTTCGTCGTCTTGCACTAAAATGAATATATCCGTGCAACATCCTACCTTACGAAGAGAACCGATTTCTCTCCTTTCAAATTTGTTACCGAGGCATCAACAGCCATGCAGACAGACTTAGGTCCATATTGACAGGTTTCGATCCGGGAAGTTTTAAAGCACATTGTCGCTGACCAGCTCTCATTGCATTTGTAGCATTCTAAAGATCTTGCTATCTTAAGCGTGGCTGTGAAGCGTAAAAGTAAAAATATAAATAACAGTCATCAAGAAATTAAAGGTAGGCCGGATCAGTAAACACTGTGAAAAGTTGGGTTAATTATCACCCTTTTTATCGTACCATCACCGTAAAGATTATACGAACGAAAATGAGTAAAACACATTAATTTAATGTGATGAAATAATAATGAAATAACGGGCACTCTGATTGGTGGATCAAGCTAAGTTTTAAAAAGAGTGGCGTCGCGTCATTATTTCCTACATCTATTTTTGTAAAATCCGCCCCATTTGACAGGAAGTGGCGTAATCAGGACAGGTGTAATAAATAAAGCTAAAAATTGTGGAAAGTGAGTGATTTGGGTGCGATTTTAACGAAGGCATTTAGCGCTTTCAGGCATGTGTCTCAAGATATGCAGTGTTCCACAGACTTCGTCAGCTTTTTTACATGCATGAACCCTCACTGGGCTAACGAAATGTTACTTTCATATATGATTTCTTTTTGAAGTCTTTTTCGTTTTCACAGACTCACAACGTGGCCAGCTTCCAGTTCTTCCGTCAATGGACCGATTTTTTTAGTCGGGCACTGCACCGGTATCGTAGAGGTCATGGGTTCGAATCCCGTTAAAAACAGTGAATTTTCAGGCTTTTTTTCACCTCGCAACTACCAAAGCTACGATGAAAAAAGTCTATCCCGCAGTTCAAATATACATGATCTGTCATCATCACCCACTTACTTAGAAATGTCAGTTTTACTTTTTAATCAGTTTTTCGGTATAAGGCCCCCCTAATCACAAACAAAAATCAAAATATTACCATTCAAACCAACGTGGCTATTCCTAGATAGAACCATTTTCTCTTCGGATAGAACATAGGAAAGTATAGTTTTTGTTTTTAACGGTTCATAAATAATTACCACAGAGCAATATCAGCAGTTGGTTTACCATCCTTCAATCTATTAAAATATGCTAACGATAAGGTGAAGACGTGTTTTCTACTTACAGCAGGTGAAAGGTGAAGGTGAAGGTGAAGGTAAATAAATACTTAAAAACTAAATTTATGTTGTTTATGGGGAAAAAAAATAAACAAGGTACATTTCAATGGAAAGTTATGGTGCCCGATTGCGCCCAGTAGGAGATTTTTTACACTAATCAAAGTTGATGCGGTATGCAGCTATGTGATTGCAAAAGTACTATAGTGATAATCGTGTCGTAAAAACGAAGGAATTTAATAGCGAGGCTTTCTATGTTATTTTCGACTTTGTTAGTGTTTTGGCTGGCTGGTGTTGAACATCGACCTCCTTCCGCAGACAGAAAAAAAAACAAAAGTGGCCGAGGGTTAAGAAGAGGAAGAAACTCTCTTCGCTCTTTCAGGCAGGACGCGGCTGCTACGCAAGTTAAACCAATCGGAATTAGGTTAAAGTAAGATATGAAAATATATGGCGAAATGAAGTTTCCTGAACGAAGTTGATTATTGTGTTTTTGTGCCAATACCTATAACAACAGCATAGCGTTCACAAAAGTAGTTAATCAAATTATAATCGTACAAGAAAAAAAAGTAATGTGTGACTTGTTTCACCTGTTGAGACAGCGGCGAGGACCAGAAGCTGAACGTTCATTTTTCGCTCCTTTTCCTGGCCGAACTAAAAGAAATAAAAACAAGCTAGTGACAGAACCTTTTATGGCAGCTACAAATCAACGTCTGAGGTATTTGTTGTCTGAAAGCGTAGTAAATTTTTCTAAAAAATCAAGCTGGCGGATTTGTATTTAAGTCATACCTGCCACTCACCTCCGAAGATTTGATAATGACCTGTTGAGTTGCACAGTGGATTGATCGGTGGCTCACTACGCGTCTTGGTTCAAAACTGTGGCAAGTTTTCACGCAAATCGAGATCCTTTCGTGTTGTTTGTTAAGAAGCGTTACGTTACCTTAGCCGTGTTCACGCACATATAACCGCTTTCCTCAAGCGTTCTGTGTTTATGTGTAAAGAAAATAAGCTTTTGACGCGGGCTTAAAGGATAATCAGACTTATTCTATAGAGCTTAAAAATGCACTTCCTTAGCTGGGTGTCGATGAAAATTTAATGCGTTTTAGTTTTTCTTGCACGTTCTACGTTTAAAAATCTAGTCTGATAACAAATCTCGATCAACAACTCAAGAACAATTCTAGAAGAAACTAATTTATTCAAAATCATATTTATCGCTGTACCACGAAATAGTTTCCGCAAGAACACAATAAAGGTGAATGAATAGAAAATTTGGATAAGATTATGATTTTTATCGAAAGTAAGGTTGCGGTTTCATTACGGTAATTCAATGTGGTTCCATTTTGGTCCCAGCACTGCATATTTTATTATTTTAATGTGTTTGTTGCTACAGAGTAGATCCCCTAACTATTAAATAGGATTCCAAGCACGTTATTATGTTTAAAACAGCTTTTCTTTCTCGCTTGTAGTTTAAAACTTGAAGGCAAAGATTTGTTTTACTAATATTTTGCTAGTATTAGCTGTAATGACATTGTGTTATCTTAGGTTTTGAGGTGAAGTCACTTAACCGACCTTGTCTTACTTCATTGAACATCAAGTCTTATTTATTATTTTCCCACGATCTTGCCAAGCCTGGATTGTAATATTGTAAAGTTTACGAGTTCCCTGAGACCACGAAGTTGTTGTTAGGCCAAGGAAAATTAATAAATATTTCAACACTCTCGCCTCTCATTAGTTTTTCATGGTTCCAGAAAGTGAACCTCGGGTGCTGTTGAAAAGGGCATGCGTAAATGCAGTTTATAATTACGGGCTTTTGTTATAATTCGCTGGAGTATTCACCAAATTATCCAGATCCTCGATACTTTAAGACTACAAAAAGTTTTTCTGAATTTGAGAATTAATTTGGTAGTCCTCTTTAGTTATTCCTTAATTAGCTTGGGCATTCCATTAATATCTGGTGGATTTTTGTTTCTTTCTTTTTTGTAGATTTTGTTGGAAGCCCTGACATACTACTACGCAACTTCGTTAAACGGTGCCAGGAGCCCATTACTAGGAGCATGCAACTCTCATACTAAGCCTATGTCACGGAATTTTTACAGACCGGTCTATTTTTGGGCTTCTTTTCCCGCGAAATCGGTAAGGAAAAAAGTGTCAGTTTTTCTTAAAGTCTTCCGGTGAAATGATGACGTCAGTTAAAAATTAAATCCGTGTTTGTGATTGAACATTGAGGTTCTTGCGGGGGTCTGAATTTGCGGTAATGATCGCTCTGTGAAAACGCCGTGACAGGAATATGGGGTAGTTGCACCACGGCTAGTGATGGGCTCCTGACGTCGCTTATTCTTCCATTTAATTTGAAGGGGAAAATGTCCAGTTGACTGGCTTCCCCGGTGTTTGCTAAACTTAAGTTTCTCCGTCTTCCTCATCGAAGTCTGCGACCTAGTATAGTTTTAAGAGTTATCCATTACCAGGAATCAGAAGCGATCCCTCTGGTAACGACGAGCCTAACGTAAGACACATAACCCTTAAAGTTCAAGGAAAGTCATATTTTTGCAATATTTGAACCTGTGGTAACGACATTGTGTCTGCTAGGTTTGAAGGTTCTATTTGAATTTTTCTGTAAGTTTTTATGAGTGTTGTTTAAATTTTCGTGCGCTACGATGTATCATTTTCCATCTTGTTTAAACAACTAAATAAATAAATACAGTATTTTATTGACCATCCCCCAATAGGGCTTTACAGGGCCAATGAAACCAAATGGTGAAAGAAATAATGCAAATGAACATAACATGGTTAAAAATCCCAACTGGCAGGAGGCAGACCAGTTGGTTATTCACAAATGTGGCCGAGGAGACTACAGCTGGTGGTCAGAGCGGGACTTGAACCCACGACCTCCGGATTTCAAGTCCGGTCTACGGAGGATTAAAGAAGCACACAACAAATGCACAAAACATGATTGGTCAGTCAGCTGCTGATACGGGGACGGCTGTAACGTGGGCTCAATTGTTTTCTTCAACGTTGATGTAGCCGTGTGGTCGCTGTTAAGACTGGCACTAGTGAAGTTAGCCGAAGATCAAATAAAGAGTTTTTAACGTAACATTATCACTCTATTACGGGAACCAAATCACCGTCATTATTTATGCATTAATCTTTAATGTGACAACTTTTTGGAGGTTTCATAGATACATGATGCTAGGCTTTTCTCTACTCAATGAGAGATACATACTAAGAACAACGAGAAAAAATGGACACTGGTTAAGTGTCCATAAAACATATACTGCCTGGTCAAGTGTACATAAAAGATATACTTTCTTTCAAATCTGATTATTTTCTCGCCTGTAAAGAAATAAGAGAAATATCTCACGTTCTCTTATTATCAACCGGAGCAAATCCAAAACCAGCAGTCCCGGCAGCTCTCGTGTTTTCTTAGACTCAATCAATTTCGTGGTAAAAAGTCATGAATTGGAAACGGTTATCGACTGTATCTGCTTTCCTACGCACGGCTAGGCAGTTAAGGGTGCGTCTGCCGACTCCATTTACTCAGGCTCACAGGAATGCATCGATCCTGTTTCAGCGTTGAAAGCCATTGTTAACTGGTTCTCTAATTCTGCAAGGACAAGATAGAAACATAGAGGTTTGATAAAAGAGCCAGCTGTAAAAGGGACTGTAAATGATTCCCATGAGCACAGAAAGAGGAGAACGACGACATTTAAAACTATAGACTGATCTAGGACTCAAGTATAAATAAAACATCAAAAGGAATTTTCAAAGGGTTTTAGTAATCGCCATGTAAGAGCAAAAGAAAATGAAAAAAATTGTCATCGATTTAGACGGCAGCTTATGCTAATATTATATATGTCGAAAAACGGTAAATACTTATAATTACATTATTTACCTTGTTCATTTTCAGAGACATCCATAACTTCAGCCGTTCTTTTTCCAAGAGTCTCCGGTAAAATCCAACAGAAAACAGCCGCAATGAAGGACAAACTGCCCATGATGGCGAATGGCAGAATGGGATTTATACGAGTCATTTGAACGACAAATGGCGAACTTGCAGCTCCAAAGCGACTGGCTACGGATACCATGCCCATTCCACTATTCCTGAAAATTATGTACGTATAATCAGACTGTGACGTCTGTTAAGAGTATCTCTAGCATACCCTAGTCAGCAGTTGAAGGCCCGTGTTGATATGTACTCGGAAGTGAGAGTATTCACCCACTATTTTGTCAAGTTGGTGACAAAGGAAAGACACTCTTATACTTAAGGGCCGTGTCCAAAAATACAATACATTGGGACACGCTCTGAATAAAGAATCCAAAAACACGAATACTCGGTGTAACCAGTCTGCTTAAGGGAAGGCTGTTCACAGTTTTAAATCACAATACTTTCGTTTTACACACCTTACAACAGTGGGGAACAACTCCGCCGAAAAAACATAGATAGCATTGAACGAGGTGGTAATGAATAACTTGCCCATCGTGCCAAGGGTCACTCGGCCTCCTATGTAACCTAGAAGTAACACAGACTTCGTGTAAATTTTACTGAAAAAGATTGTCCTACATAAACAGATTATCTCTTGTACCTTTGGCAATTAGTCTAATTGTTATTCTTCCACTATCTCCAACTAATGCTGTCTGGATTTGCTCCTTGATAGTTTTAAGGTCACATTTTTTTTGTTCCGGCTATTTGCAATATTTGTTTATTATTTGTTTATAAGTGTCCCTAACCAGGACAACAGTGCTTTTAAGCAAATGTATTAGAATACATTTGGTATTTAAAAAACATTTTGTTGCCGATGAACACATGTACCACAGTGGCCCAAACAGTGTCAAGCGAAGCTGCAAATCAAACAGTACCTTTGTTATCTGTGCCTGCAGGTATGAATGACACACACACAGCTGAAATGGCTGCAGCTATCATATGCACTACAACTGTCTTCTTTCGTCCAAACCTACACAATGTAAAATATTGAAGAGATCCTTAGCACATCAACTTTAAGTCGCCACGGTAAGGATTTTTCTCCACAAGCCACCAGCTAATCAGAACGGTGACAGAGTTGATAATACAAGATACTCTTTGAGATATAAAAATAGATGATAGCATCAAAATTCTACAATGCACTCTGAAAAATACGCCATTTGTTCCCTGCTAGGTTTGTGTAGCATGCAGAGACTCAGTAGAGGTATTTCTACTCTCCCTGGATGGGATACTAGTCCATCGCCGTTAATTCGCCCCATTTAAACACCTAGGTGGGGAGAGGCACCGTGAGAGTAAAGTGTCTAACACAACGCAATGACCACTCCCAGAAGACGTTAGGCTGTACAAATATCATGTAATCCTTTTTAAATTCACTGTTTGGCTTGTTATTACCTGTTGCAGTTGTGAATAACCAAGATGTTAGCAGGGACCTCCACAAGACTTGTCAAAACGAAGTTTAAGTAAATGCTTCCACCAAATTCTCCAGCGCTCAAAGAAAGCCCATAATACACCATTCCGTTGACAAACCTAAATTTAACAAGAACAAGAGAGGATGAAGCTTATAACTTGCTCTTCATCCTCTACTGTCATTGATATAACTTAATATGAGCTCTTTTGGTTTTTTAGACTTCCTTGCCCCTAGTATAAATTTCCTTTTTTTTTTTCTTTTTTTCTTTTTTTGGCAAAACGAAGAGTCAAAGAGAGCGCATGAAAATTGGTTGCCGAGTCGGGTTCATCCGCCCGTTCTCCGATCCAGCCCTTAAGGTTTTTTGGCTACCTACGTAAAGAAATATTCACAGAAGCAAACAAACCAGGCATAACACTGGATTAGTGACAGCTTAGCAAGTTTCCATGACTTGAACAGTTCAAAAAATCCCTTGCTTGACTGAGCCCGAACAGGAACGTAGAGCTCTTCTTTCGGCATCTCCCCCTTATTTGCACGAGCAACCTTCTCCAGGATTTCGCGAGCTTCATCTCTCCTCCCGCTAACTAACAGCCATCGAACTGATTCCGGAATGAACCTAAAAGATTAAACTATAATAAATATGGCTGTGTTTTGGTTAAAGTGTCGGAGGTGTAGTTGAAAGAAAAGCGTCTGGTATGGGTAAAAACGAGAGGTAACTGTAAACAGAGAGTACGCTCAGAAGTCACTGACCGAAACGAAATGCTTGCGCAGCTTAGCTTGAAACTGGATATTAAAAAGATCTTAAATTTAATATTCATAGACATTCATTCACATTCTTTATCATCAACGTCCCGGTACATCAACGCGACCAGCTTCCAGTTGGCTTGAAAGCTTAGTTGGTAGAGCACTGCAATGGTATCGCAGTGGTCATGGGTTCGAATCCCGTTTAAGGAGAACGCGTTATTTTCACAGCTGCTTAAGTGGTGCACTAATTGCGATGATCCTTCATGTCTTCAGCCACATGTATAGCTACATTCCCTCAGTAGATCATGCTAGTCCATTTGTCAGCTTGCCAGTACGTAATTACAATACAGGGTGAAGCGGTACGGCGGAAATGAAAGATCTTGCTCAAGTACACTACACCGTGACCACGCCCAGTGCTCGAACCTGCATCGTTAGATCCACAGTTGAGCGCTTCGGTACATTCCAAACACTGTTAGCTGCACATATCGAAGCTACCATCATAGACAAACATTTTAACGCTAAATTGCCTTTCCTGCAAGGAGAGTGGATGGTTGTACACCATACATAATTATTCTGCTGTTACCAATCTGGGGCGGGTTGTTCAAAGCCCGTTTAATCTAACCCTGGATTAGCGAGAATTTTGATTTGAACTTCGTAACTTTTCGGTGAGGTTTTCTGTTTATACTGTTTGTCCTTCAGTTTTGAGCTTAACTAAGCTCAAACTACACAAAACGTAGGCAGTAGAAAACATTTTTATGCAAGAAAAATTAATACTTCGGTTAACTTTTAATCCTGGGTTAGCGTTAACCGGCGTTCGAACAACCCGGTCCAGGTGATCATACTTACTTCCAGAAAACGACAATAAAAATGAAGGGCGCAGACGACACAATCAGAAGGATGCGCCAGCTTCGTATGAAAAAGGCCTTCATGGCAAGTACTATGAGGGCCACTGTGAAGTAGATCCAAACAAGGGTCCCTGCCAGCGCTCTCTTTTCAGGCCCTACCAGTTCAGTCGCCAAAACGAACATTGTGATGAAGCAGCCAGCCTCGAAAAACCCGATGACAAATCGACACACGGCGACGATCCAATAGGCTTTTGCAAACGCCATGGAAAAAGCTATAACCACTACAGCCAACAGAGAGGGGAATAAGACTTTTTGGCGGCCAAATTTGTCTGAAATGATGCCAAGAACTATTGCACCAACTGCCCAGCCAAAGAACAGCATCGAGTTGGCCAACGACGCTTGAAAGGCGCGCCCACAAACCAGATCGAACTGCAAAAGGAAGAGAAAAAGATATGAATAATATTACTTTTCTTATAAGTTTCTCTGGTGATAATCCCAGCATGTGATTGCCTTGGGAAAGGATAATGCGATAGTTATTGCACAGAAGGATAAATTCATTGACTTCACGATACAATATAAAAACTCAGTCAACTTAGCACATTGCACCCGGATGCTCTAAGAGACGAAAATATTTGCAAATGTAGACGAACGGACTAAAGTCGTCTGTAGTAAACAAAGGCTTTTTCAATCCCGCATTTTTGCTCAATCCCGCCATCCCGCCTCACTCAGAATGTTTATCCTAATCCCGCCTGGTTAGAGTTTCAGTTCTCCGCTATTCGTAACCCGCAACTTGTGTTCATCATCCGGCATCCCGCCGTCGTTTTTAGAAGTATCCCGAATCCCGCCTGTCAAAATGAGCAGATCTCCCTCCTGCCGAAGTTAAAATGTCTGTCATCCTACATCCCGCCTCCAGTTTTACATTCATCCCGCATCTATGTTAGACCCTTCAGTTCATTTAAAGAACTTTTGAATTAAAAGGGGTTTACAAAGTAGTGTAACCAAAGCTAAATTGGGATCACGTAACACTTCAATAAAATTTGCAAAAGGGAGTGACAGTAATTGCGTGACTTTAGGTTTCGCGTGCAGGTATGTGTAATTACGTAACGTGTAATTACAGTAAATACAATCGGGCTCGAATATACGCGGGTTCTCCAAGATAGATTCATCAATGCTGTAAATGAACCCTCAAGTATTCATTTCAGCTATAATTTCTGTCAAAGGTAATCAATAAAAACCCTTGAGTAGTAAACACCGGGTCGAATAAACTGCGAGCCGGTCAAATAAGTGCCGCATCTATCAGGTCAAGTTTGAATTTGTTTTGTTTATAAAGGGTGTGCGTGGGAGAGTACGAGTGTGAGGTTATTTCTGCAACAGACATGACAGGTGAATAGATCTACATCTCTATAATCATTACATAATCATAGCGTGAAAAAAGTGTCCAAAAATATAGTAGTCTGAAAAGGTGTTAGTGAAACAGTTTCACTGAATAGACAACCGGTGTGAAACACGGGGTGCAATTAGCTATGGAATATAAATTTACTCTTTACCTGGTTTACAATTGTGTGTTGCGGTCCGTCATACAGGTCGTAATCCGCAAATTTCCAGTCCGTTCTATTCAAAGAACATCGCCTCTCGTAGAGCGACTTGGGCTTTGTCGCCGTGCTGAACACCTGAACCGATGAGCTGTTAGTGAAATTTGCACCTAGGCATGAGGAGCTGCCTTCGACGCACATCCATGGCGGCTCGAATGCAATGAAAACCATGATGAGCGTTTGGTAGGTTATAGGAAAGATCGTAAACAGAAACAAGACGAGGATGCGTACTTGGTATGGACCAAACTGGCCGATGTGTTGTAACACCTCGTCTATATCAAGAGCCATACTCGATCTTACCGGTATTTGTCTCTCTGAGTGACAAACCGAACACGGTAGTGAATTTTTTACTAACCCTGGCAACTTGTAACTTGATATTTGCACTTCAAAACTGAACAATAAACAATGTAAAATTCCGACAGCTAAAGGGCTAAGACCATTAAATTCTAAAAAAGCTCTGAATGTGCAGGTAAACACGAGAGGTGTTTAAGCATTTTTGAGTTAGTGCAAGTCACATTTATTTTACCACGAACCACCAAGAGGACGCAACACCACGCGCAGACCTACGTGACCCTAACCCTAAGGGTGGTGTGATAAAGAAAGTGTAGGGAGGGGTAGTATAGGGATACAACAGGAAAAAGGTTCATGAACACCACCCCACCCCCCCTCCCATCCCCTCCGGTTAGAAGCACACACAGTTACCCATCAGTCTGTTGGAGAAAAATAAAAAAAGACCACACCCTCCCTCACCCGAGTTTAACATTATCACCACTGACCCGGGTATCACTTAGTTACAATATTGTGAAGGGAGAATTTGCCGATATTCTTAACCATAGAAAAGCCAACAGTTAGCAGTTAAGGT